ATTACAAAGCTTTTACAAAATATTTTTTGCAATATTTCAAACGAGCCACCATTTAGAAATTATTATAAATGATATATATATAAAGTGTAATAAAATTACATGCCGTTCTTGGCGTACTTTTATCGCCTTGTACATCTGATCGCCGTTCGTTCTCGGCGATAGTGGGCACGAAATGTTATGTTCGGATTTTTTTATTTATCATTAAGCTTATATTRCTCACCAAAGATGAATAKCTCAGATCAAGGCGGGAAAATAAGTTGTGAAAAAAGAATTTTGTCATGCTTTTTAAAATTTGCACGATAGAGTTCAAAGTACAATTGACTCAGCAAGATGCCTAGCCGCTATTTTTCCAAAATGTTTTTCAAACTTTAAAAATAAAACTTTCAAAAATCTWATTGTTTAGTCCCTTATAGCTTAGATGAATTGGCGTATTCAAACTTTCTAGACTTTCTAGATAGATTTGTAGATATATCAGCGAGATAAGCCATGAAAAAGGACTAAAAAGACATCAATTGACATGTTTGAACTTCTTCGACAAACACTGACATTTTCTTAAGTTAAGTTACCTTATAAATTTGCACAATTCGCCACAGTCTTCAGCAGCCTAAGCGATTTTTCAAATTCCTGTTTTCAGTCATCCCGATGATTTGAGTCGATATCTCTTGAATTTTTATACAGCTACTTTGGTCTTCGACGAATCCATAATAGGTTAACTTACTACTCAACAATTCAAAAACAGAGTTCACAAATCCTCTGTTTTTTCCTCTTGATCTTTAACATGCCTTTAAGCTTCCTGGAACATCACCTCTCCTTGTTGTCAATCACTTGAAGCGAAAAGGTAGTCAAGACTGTTTCTTTTAGGGCCACAGTTTGCTAAACTGGATTGACAAACCCTCAAAAATGACTAAGTTTGTCCTTCTCTTTCTTTGTTGAACAAGTTTTTCTGGACGTGCATTTAAACACGGATCGGAATMCAATGAAATTGGCGGGAATCTTCCAGATTGCATTAAAATGTGTGAAAATTAGCTTTTCAGAATGTTTTGAAAAGTTGAAAAAAGTTAAATGTTGCTCTCCGAACATTATAATTTTCCAAAACCGAATAGCGCCTGCATTCAGCGGTAATCCACACTAAACACCCACTGAGAGTGGGTGTCACGTGACYGGCCAATGCCAGGGCTATCTCGGTCCGCCATTTTGAAAAAAGCGAGCAGAGTAGCCCTGGGAACGAGGTTGATGGTATACCATTTTTCTTAGCTATGGAGCTCCGCTATTATAGTTTCTTTAGATGCAGAGCTCAGAGCTTTAACAAAAGAACAGCCACAAGAAACAACAGCAAATGGACGAAGACTGAAATGCAAGAAATGTGATGGTCGAATGAGAGGTCTYAACAAAGAAGAATGTGTACGCATATGTGCAGCTCGATTAAACCAAAATTAATAATCTCAAAATGAATTCAGTTTGTAAATAGTCTTGYTAGTTTCTGTCATATTATTGTAAAGTTGCAATTTATTTTACATAGTTAGCTTAAGTCACCAGAGTCTGTGTTTGGCTCATCTATGATATTTTCATCATCTTCTATAAATCCCCTGTAATTACCATTGTCTGAGGGAAATGTCTCTCTTATAATATGGTAAACACAACATGGCAAAGGCAGTCTTGTCGAATTTCTTGTGAAATCCCATATAAAGCAAAAGAATTGCCTGTAAGCCACTGACCGCAGGAACCTGAAAAAAAAAAACAATAAGAGTTTACAGCAGGAACCTGGAAAAAAAAACAATAAGAGTTTTTAAACTCTTATTAAAATTCTGACAAAGCCAAAGTAAAATGATATTATATTGTTGTGATTGAATTAAAAAAATTTACAATTATTTGTTGTTCTGAGATGCATGTAGGTAGAAACATAACAAACAGCAACGAAAAATAGCAAGAAATATATGTAAGCATAGTTTGTAAATAGCAAGTCAGAATACTCACTCTGGTTCCGAGGCTAAACCTTTTTTTCTTAGGACAGTATAACTCTTGTTTTTCCTCGTTTTGAGTCCAATAGCAGCAACTTCTAGTACCCACTTATCCAGGCAGATGGTTTTGGAAGCTGAATGATTTGTAATGCAGACTACTTCTTCTTCAAGCTCGTTCATTCTGTCCATACAACCCATGATTCCCGTGCAACAGAAACATTCCTCATTTTTTGTGATCAACACAAGGTTGCACTTGGAACAGGTACACCTAAAGAAAGCAAAAAGTCTTATTTGGTGATGGATGCTCACAAAATGTATTGCTCGATATGCTAAGCGACTTTTTCATGTTTGACACGTTTATTTCGAAAGTTTCGTAATCAGATTGGCRTTCCTAACAATTAAAATGCTAGTTTCCATCTAATTAAATTCTTACTACTGCTCTGACTCCCCAGAAAAACGTCTCGACAACATTTCTTCTTCTTCCAGCTCGTCCTCGTGTTGTTCTTCGAATGAGGCTATCTCTTCTTCATTGGCTACATGCTCAAGATCTTCCGTGTAGTTGTCGAAATCCATCGTAATATTATATTCAAGTAACTTACTATAAAAGCTCGAAGAAGCAAGCGTCAAAAATCTTATAAACTAGGATAAACTAGTAAAAACACTGACATTAGGAGACGCTTCCAGTCGAACCTTCCGGCCGAGTAAAGTATATGACGTCATAAGAAGACCGCTGGCCGTATAAATAGCCGTTTGGCAGTRAGACGTAATTTCAATGGCGGACGAGAAAATTAATGCGTATTTTTCAAACKTCCCGTTGGAATATCGGGATAAAATCTATACTAGTTATTAACAAAGTAGTATAGATTATTTTGGGAAAGTTTCAAGTCTCTCTACGAAAAAGTGTCATTTTCGTCCAAGTTGCACTTTAACAAATTCTCCCAAGAAACTCTTGAACTCTTCAAACAGAGATATCGACGGACATCTAACCAAAAATACGAACTTTGTCTACTGGAGAGCACGAAGAGGAATTATATTTTATTTTGTGCTATTTTTGTAGAATTTTCTTCAGAGTAGCAAACTACTCGATCAGCATTCATAAACATCTGACTGTTCATGATAGGGAAACGGAGACTGTCCCTATTTTCAATGTCTTTGGAAACGACGCCTGCCCTATTTTCAATGTCTTTGGCTTTTGGATTTGAACTTGTATCCATTTCTATGGAATTCCAAGCCTTGAAATTTTCTCGAGGGATGTCGCTGATCAAAGTGCTTTTTAAGTGCCTTTCGACTAATTAAGCTTCTACAGCAAGACATTGTCTTGGCAGAACATGAAGCTGTAAGAGACGCTAGTCCAGTTAATTCGAGGTACACTGTTATGGTTCGTAATAGAGGTCTAAAGATTCTTTCTTTAGAAAAAATGAGACAACCAAGGGTACGGATCTGGTAGGAAAAAGGCTAATAGAGGGCCGTACGTCCGGTATAAAGTACCAAGTGTATACACCTAATTGAAGAAACGTTGTCGGGTCCAAAAAGGTCAAATCATAGAAGCTAAGACCGAAAGGGTACTTGGGAAGACAACAATCTCTCCARCATAAATGACTAGCATGCTGTTAATCTTACTAGCTCTACTTGATTTAAGGTACACCGTATATGCAAATGTAATCCCAAATTTAGTGGTACTCAAAATCCCTTTCGGTCTTAGCTTCTATGATGTGACCTTTTCGAACATGACTACGTTTTTTCAATTAGGTGTATTCTTTGACGTTGGTCTGAAATCGCTACAATTTGATGAAGACATCCCACAAGTCATCGATGAACACCAAGTTAAAGTTCCATCCATCTGCACTATTGAGTATATCCAAAGATACAAAACGTGTTGCAACTGTAACAAGCGAATCAACCAGGTAGATGTGAATGTCCTCCGATGTGATCACTGTGGGCATAGGATGACAATCTTGTATTCCAAATCCAAGTATTCCAAAAGTTCTATTCAAGGATTGTTGGACACTACTTATGATWGTAACCCATGTTTTACCTAAGCGCTATATTTTCAAATGGTTTAAAAGTCTAGATCTACATGTATTATTCATGATTTTCATTAAAATTTTTCTGTTCACTTCCTGTTTGTTTATATTTATAGACGATTCAAAATGACTTCTAGTATTTCAAGCTTCAGAGACTGGTGTACTATGTTTGTTTCACTGATTTATTGAATTCAYTCTAGCATGCTTTTTGGTGTCCCTCCTTACTTGTCCCTCTCTGAATAAAAAATTAAATKATCAAGGTGAAAGTTAACTAKACGATCATTAATCCCACACATTGGCTTCCAGAGGCAAAAAAAAATTAATTTACAAATAAAATCGATGATTTACAAATAAAATCGATTATACATCCCACGTTTATGAAAAACTAGATACTCGAGAGTGGTTTAATATCACAATGTTAATTTTGACTTTTAGTTTGACACAAAATAAGTGCTTTACAAGACATTAAAATAAAAGGGGGTTTTGATACCTCAACACCCATGTCTTTAACTCAAGTTGAATACAAAGGCCATAATAAATTAAAGGCGCTCAATGACCACATGTGCCTTACTACGGTTGAACGCATAATTGTAAAATTTAAGTGAAGCGGATACATAGTGCTTTGTATGGGGCGCCAAGTGTCCTTTTATTAYTTGAATGAAATTCTTAGCAAATTTCCTTATTTAGCAAATAAACGCTTCGATATTTGGTTATTTAGTTAAATAACTTTTTTTTATGAACGTATGTTTTATGTCAGAAAATTTGGAATTTGGAATTTGGATTTTGGTTATTTATAAATAATCATGTTAACATTTATGGTTGGTTATTTATAAATAACCATGTTCACAATTTTGGTTATTTATAAATAACCATTTTGATTGTTTTGGTTATTTAAACACT